AGACACATCGCTGATTTTAATGATCTGTTACTTTAAACATAAATTGAACACTGAAATAAAATGAGGTTTTCATGCATCCATGTTGTACATTGACTTTATAAAAAAAAAAAAACTTTTTCACTTTGAAGTCTAAAGTGTTTTTTGAAGTAGCGAACAACAATCGTTCAGTTTGGTATTTAGACAATTCCCTGATTCACATCTTTTATAAAATACCAGAACTGACCTTTTTTCTTCCTTCCTTATGTCTTCATGAGAGCAGTGGGCTTTATGCTGCCCTGCAAGGCTTTAAACCTGGGTTTGAATGGAGACAAAGCCATTCTATACACATATCAGGTGCTCATTTTGAGCCTGGAACCATATTTATTTTTGATTCTGTTCATGGTGGAGAATCAACAGCAGCAAGTTTAGTCAAACATCCTTTAAATGTGCAGGGTCATCTTTGAGCACCATTTCACTTTTCTCTCACTGGTTCACTGCAGTTCTTCCGGCAGTCCACACTTTCTCTGCTCTCTTTTTCTCATCGTCTTCTCCTTCTTTCCCATCGCCCGGCTTGCCACAGGTTTGCCTGCTGTGTCTAAAAGTAGCAGCAGCAGCAACCCAGACTGACAGCAGCTCATTGGATAATGTGTATCACATGTAGCCTGGTGCCAGACGCTCCAGAGGGCTTTACCGTATTAACAGAGGAAGAGGCGCAAGTTAATTTCTACAATGTCATCGGACAACGTGCGGTTATTTATAAATGTTTTAAATCAGGTCGGGTCAGGATTAGCCAGCAGGTGGGTGGTCCGCTTATCCGTGACCTCTGCTGTAGAGCCTTAAACGCTGATAAATGTTTTGCCGCAAGATATTTGCTACCTCAAAAAAATGCATATATCTTACCCACTCATATGCAATCACATTTTTAGATGAGCGTCTTTGTTTCTGAGGCAGGAATATCCTCTAAAAACTAAACAAAAAATCCAAAATATGTAGGTGGGAGCAAAAAGAATGGAGATGAGAGCGAAGGATGTGGAGTACAATATTAGACACGTCTAATAAAGGTAAATATTAATATTCAGCTGTCAGCTGGCCTGTTTGAATGTGTACCCTTTAAATAAAACCCATAAAACCCTTGGATCAGACTTATTTTAAAGCTTGTATTAAATAAAATATCCCTTTCAATCAATTTGAGAAACTTTGCCCCCTGAAAAAAAATCAGCAGTGGCCTATGGGACTTAGCTGAGCTGTGAGGTAAAAAAATCGAATGTAAGATCTCTGTGAAAAATAAATAAATCCATCAGGGCTGGAGCCTCTGATAAAAACCTTTTATTATTCCTGTTTGAACCTTCACAACAGGTGTCATATATATATATATATCCACCATATCTTAATAAATGTAATAGACACTCTTAAATACTGCGATGCTAGAGATGGTTGGTTCTCCTGTTAGAGGTTTAGATAATGCTGCTTTATTAAATATCAGTTTACATCTGTTGGCAATAATGGGTTTCCCAATGAACTTTATGAAGAGATTTGCTTCCTTCCTTTCTTCCCTTTGATCTTGAACCTATATTGAAAGTCTGTGTGGTGCTGAAGCACCTAAGACGGCACTGATATCATTTATCCCCCCAGTTCAATACGTTTCCCTCTCATCCTCCTCCACCCATCCAGCTTACCTCCTTCTTTTCGCTGCCCTGTAAGTGTGTGAGGTACTGAGTGTTTTTTTTTCCTCAATTCAATAGCTCTGTTTAATTCTCAAAGCTTCAATAACACCACGGTTTAAAAAATAAGACAAAAGAGAGTAGAAACCTCCATACTGTTAGTATTTTATTACGCTGTCAACTATAGAAGAGAAATTAAATTTAGGAGGGAAAATGGTGATTTCATTTCTCATGCCTGGCTTTTTCCCTCCCTTACTTGTGGCATTCTGTGCTTTTTTTTTGTTGCTTCATCTCTTTGAATTTCTTCTTGCTGTCTTTAATTTTTCTTCAGACTCCACACCCCCCCTCCCTCGTTTTCTCATCTGCTAAGCCAGCAGTGAAAGTCTTTTTTCGAACCTCTTGTGTCAGCAGCACTGTCAAACCTACACACTGCTTCCTAACTAAATATTATTCCTCCCTCTTTCTTTTTTTTCCATCAGTTTTCCTGTCTGTGATTCTCCTCCTCCTCCCCTTTAAGTAGACACTGTCCATTTATTAACAATTGTTTTCTTTTTGCTTTCTTCCAGTCCCCTGGTATTATTTAAAAAAAAAACCCTTTGCACCATTGGTTGAATTCTTATTTTGCTAGTCGCACACTCTTCTTTGCATCCTCATAACCAAAAGCTCTCAGCTCTAGGTTTGTTTTAGCAGCAAATTAGTAACAACCCATTAGCTGAAGGACTGCTGACAACAGAGCTACGACTGCTGACTCCTAAGCCTACACTAACTTTAAACAGAGCTGGTGGATTCGGATTCCAGCTTCCGAAAAATGTACAATTCAGTTATAGAGATGATCCCTTCCAGATATCACCACACCCCCCTTTAACCACCGACCTTCAGAATCATAGACAGGTCTCAGATATTACAGGCTAACAATGGAACCAAACGACCCACTCATTGGTTTCCATTTGCATGTTTCTAAGCAATACAAGGCCTTGTCTATATAAAGACTCAAACTCACTGCAGATCCAGACATTTGAATTGAGAAAGCTTCCTGTAGAGGTGGGGAAATGTCTTCAAATCTGGGAAACCAAGTCCAGTGGATTTTATTTTAACTTTTATGGAATGACTATGACCTGGATGACTGAGAATCTTCATCTTCATCAGCAGACTAATTTGTACCTACAGGCAATGAACTTAAAAAGAAATGAATAAAAAAAATCCATACACGCTCAACCAGCCACACCCAGATTCATTCAAAACTCATCATTCTGTACATGACAGCTAGCTTCAGATAAATGAGTCACCTTGATGAACTGTTTTAAGCTACCAAGTCAGGGATTAAAGCCGCTATGTGAGAGGAAGAGTAAAGGAGCGTTAAATTTTAATGGAAACTTGGAAGTCTGAGTGGTGTGAGCATTCTAGTTTCCTGCCTTTTGCTGTTTGTATTCCCCATTGTTTGCATGTGGCCCCTACGGTTAACGTTACCATCACAATGACGGAAACACTGGCTCATGTGGTACTTTATGCTAGTGTTGCACCAATGTTATTTTTTGGCCACGATACCTGACTGTGCAATATTGACCGGTACTATCTGTCTGAAATTGATGTGTGTGTATATATGAAGAACTGCACACTACTTGGATGTAAAATAATTGCCATCATGGCTCTGTCAAGCTGCTGCCTACCTCTGTGAATCCAGTATAACTTTTTATTGCCTACCTGGAATGGGTGATAATAGTTGAATAAACTTTTGGCTCTCAAAATGGTATCGGTGCCCTATTTGCTTGTACTCGCCGATACCGATACCAGCATTTTATGCCCATAAAAAGCATTGATACCTAACTTCTTATAAATAGCTACCAGTACACATAAGACTGCCTAAGTGTCATGTAAATAAGAAACTACAAAAAAGTTAAAGTAGAAGCGTTTTACTCCTTTAAATGCAGGAGGTAGCCATCATGGATGAGGAAGTCTTCTATGGTACTTGGAATTTCAACTTTCCATTTCATTATTCCTACTCCGAAGTTGTACATTTCTTTTAAAATATAACACACCGTAACATTCAGTTTGTTCCTATTTTTGCTGTAAACTGCAATGTTTACCAAAGCTGAAGACTGTTAACCCTAACCCTATTATTTGTACATCATTTGTAAATATAAAGTAGAGTCGTACGATTGAGGTTTATACAGTACTACGGTACAACTTAATGTAAGTTCTTTGCATTGCTTTAATTAACTTCCTAGCTTGAATATATTTGCTGCTTCAGATTTTGGCAAAAATTTGGCGAGCAAAGACAAAAGAGGAATTAAGCAAGGATCACGGAGCAATGCAGACTTTGGTTTTTAAAACATAAGGTTATATATCTACAGTGTCAGGTAAACACTTCTTTAATTTTTCCTCCATGAAATGGGTATATAGCATATGTATATATACACATGTAGAAACAACTTTGAAAGCAAGTCTGTCAGCTGGCTGTGAATCGGTGAACTTTTTCTTCTGACATATTTATGCAATAAGGTTTAATACAACACTACAATTGTCAAATAAGTTTAAACAACACCCTTTCAGTCCTTACCTTTACTTTATGTTAATTCCCTCAGAAACACTCAGCACTCACCAAGTGCTTTGAGGCTATCAACAGCTTTCATACCAACAAAACTTGAATTTTTTTCTTTTTCCGTGTAAATCATTTGTACTGCTATATATCTGAATGGCTTATTTAGAACAAACAACATCATGAATTGTTCTACCGATGGTAGAAGGAATGTTCCTTTGAATTTAGGGGAAGTAAATTATAGTTATCTGTAATGGACATCTTACACGGTAGTTATTGCTGTAATGGGACGCCATAGGACGATATTTAGCACCATTGTCTTGCACAATGAGGCAGGACGTGTGACCTCTTCTAATACAATAAAGCCCAGGATTATTCTTAGTTTAGAAATGGTACTTGTATCCTAAAATATTTCAGACTATTGAATTTCTCGGCTCCTGCTTGCGTTATCAGGCTTACCATCCCGTGGAGCTTACATTAACGCAGCCTAGCTGCTGGAAATGTTGTCCTGATGCTTTAGACAGTGAAATAAACATCTTATTGCCTGACATTTTTCAGAATCCCAAAAGTTTGACAAGCCTTCAGGGCTTTATTACAGTTTCTATGCTGTAACCGAACAGCAGTTTGCCGTTTTGCACAGAAGCCTTTTTCCTTGCACTGAATGGAATTACAAACATCTTTGCTCTTGCATTGCTCTTTCTATTCATGTCTCTGCTTCCACACATTCATCTCTTAACAAGTTTTTTTTTCCTTAGTTTTTCAGATTTTAAGTGCAGCTATTCCTCCCCAACTCATCCACATGAACAAACTGATTTCTCCTCCAGGTTTTGATGCTCTCGGAGACCTGTTAAAGCCCACAGTCACCGCGCACACCGCACCACCTCCCCCTCCTCAAATGGCCATTCATCCTGGAGGAAAGCTGCTAGCCAATGACCTCGACTCTTCTCTGGCCAACCTTGTGGGCAGTGAGTGCTGACACACACAAGCTAGTTAACAAAGGGAGAAACAGAGTTGGAATATCTGTGCAGCAGCTGGAACAGTTATATAACTTTACAGATTCAACACCAGGTCTTGAATATTTATAAAGCACTGCACAGAGTTCCTGTTAAAAACAAGTCCAGAAGATTTTTCTTTTTCATAACTTATCTGCATTCTTCACCACTTTTTTCCACCTGATTATGTTCTCTGTTTCTACTCCTTCCTCAGATCTGCAATTTGGAGGAAGTGCGACCAAGAAGTAAGTCTCTTCACTTGTTGGACTAAGAAATACTAGAAAACCTTTGTTTTTCCTTCAGGTATTATATGTATTACTTTTGTTTTTGCGGTGTTTTGTTTGTACTTCAACAGGCCAGAGATGCAATGGAACCAGCCTGGGGAGAAGAAGCTGACCGGTGGCCAAAACTGGCAAAATAAGACCATGTCGACCACACAGTGGGGCCCCGCTCCCATGGCTCCACAGCCTATGCCTGTGCAACATGTGGTAAGAACTGCTGAGCATCCTCGGTGGGCGGCGTGATAACCACAGTGTAGACGCATTATCTGAAGGATCTATCAAGGTGTCTTCAAGTTCTCCAAGTTCTAGGGAAATAATATTTTAATAACAAATCATTCTGGCTTAAACATCTATATAAATGTACGCTTTATCAGACTATATTTTCTGGTTGTTTGTCCAAATGTTGAAAATTTCTGTTTTAAAAAAAATCCTGTCTTAAATCTGTAGTTTTTTTTCCATTATTTTATGCAGGCCAGTTAGTTATACATCAGCCTGTGCACCTAAATTCAGCCAATTATATATCAACAGTCATCTGTCAATCAAATTTTTCAGTCATAGCATCTTGATTCGTATGTCGCAGCTAATATACGCAAAAATAAGAAATAAGAATAATTTCTTTTCCCATTGGGTTCCGTCCCAGTGTTCACGGGGATGGACGTCTGTGTCTTCAGCAGGCGTAAAGCTAACAGAACTGGCAGCGTTGCGAGGCAAGGGGTCAAACATGTACGGCTGGAAGCCTTCTACACCAAACCAAGCTTCTACCGCCATGGCGTCCTCTTCCACAACAGCTTCGTCCCCGCTTTCCTCCTCTAAATAAAAAAATGCCTGACGGAGGAGACTCATCCACGACCTCCGACACTAAACTCTCCTCCTCTTGCATGTTTCCTCTGTCCATAGCGTTCTTTGACAGTGTCGTTTCTAAGTCACCAATTTAGTGCTACTTGGTCCCAATGGAATTTCCCATTGGGAATCTACTAGCACTAAGTTGCTAACTGGTTAGCAAGATGCTTCGGAGAAAACGGCCAGAACCAAATGTGCTTGCGAACCTTCCGCCACAACAATCCCGCCCCCTTGATAAACGTCCAATCACATTCACTTCATTCACTCGCGTAAAGTCGTGCACCACTCAGGAGAATTCTGAAATGCAACGGTTGGAAAACCGCTTTTGTGCGACTTTAAAGCCTGCGATATTTATTTTGGCTTTATTTTAAGGCGAAATCTCATCAGAAATCCTTTTCTGCCCACTTTCTGTTTGTAACCGGACATTAACAGTTTAGGATTTTTAAAACTAATGTAACTGTGAGCTGATTCCGTCGCAAAGTGGAGGCGTTGCATCAGCTTAAATAAATAAAGTTAAACTTCTACCCATATGTTGGTTTAAGCAGCGTGTTTTATAACTGTATACAGAGCGTCTTCCTCCTTTAAGCTAATTCAGGTGAATTGGAAGAACTTCTTTTTGCTCAGGGATGTTTATTTGAAAGATTTTTACCAAGTTTGTTTTCAAATGTAGATATTATGGATAATCTTAGTTACGTTACCATCAGTAGTGAGCAGAGGTACAGAGGTTCACTTCTGCTCACAGTTCACCGCATAAAGATGTTAAAATAATTCCCACATCACAACCCAGTTGTTAGTTTTCCATCTGGGCTTTGCCGAGTTTATTTACATCTTTCCTTCCTCACCTGTTCTTTGCTCACATCAGCTGTGTTTTCATGGGGAAAATAAAGCGCATCTCCAGAGCTGTTCTCATTTAGAGGCATCTCTGTTTGTTCAGAGAGCAAAAGGAGAGAGATTTGGTATTAGATTTACCCATTTATACAGCTGAAAACATCTTTACTTACGTCACTTGAGAATTAAGTTAGAAACCGTAGCTGCAGCTAAACTAACAACCCTTAAACCTTAGCTTTGTCTGTACCTTCAGCATTTTAGTACAAAAAGCAGGAAAAGGATGTAGATGGTTTTTTGCACAAGGCGTGAAATGATCTTAAATTTAGAGGGCTGAAGCATTGCAGGTCCCCCCAGAAACACTCACCAGTCACTAAGCGCTTCCCTTTGTGGGTAAAGGAGGTTACACCTCTCTGCATAAAGAGGCTAAAAGCTTTAGTTCAGATTTCCGACGCTGATTGAGCATTGTACACTAATTTCACTGCTTAATTATCTGTAGGAGTTAAAAGTTCGATAGAATGGGCTAACCAGACATCAGATGCTCTATTCCACTGCGTCTCCTGCCCACATTTGCCAAGTAAATGTAAATTTGTTGATATTGCTTCCTCGGTTTTGTCTGAAGGTAATAAAATCTGCCTACAAGCAGCTGTTTAGTTCTTTATTGGTTTTTGGCTCTCGTCTTAACAAATCGAATAACATTTTTTTCCTGTTTTACAAAATGATGTGAGAAATACTGTTTCTGGGCCTGCAGCCAGCTGCTGGTTAGCTTAGCGCACAAAGGTTTGACAGGAAAAAAAACCGGCCTCCGTGACTCCATGTGCAGCTTCCTAAAAACTGCCGACTTTTAGTTTCCTTCAGAGGCAAATGATTGGGTTGAAATGTTTCATTTGAACTTTTTAAAAGGGACCACAGCAGATGGAAACTTGCAGACACCTTAGCAGGATGTGAAGTGGATTAGAAACTGTTGCGTTGAGCAAAAGGATTGCTGATTTCCTTTCTTTTTGTTTGTTTTTGTTCTGCTGATGCATGTCAGAGTGCTGGTGTGTTTTATTATCTCTATACAGTATAGAGCTGCGTGTGCATGATGTTTGCTGATCGTAGCAGCTCCTGATTGTCCTCCTGGTCTCTGCTCTGCAGTTTCTGGCTGACGAGGACAAACCTGTCACTAACCCCTGTCTTCTTCTCTTTCTTCCACTTTCCTCTCCTGTTGATCCTCCGTTTCTTTTTCCTGACTCCCTTCTTCCTCCCTGACCTCGCTGTCATCCCATCTAATCTCTCCTTCCTGATGTTTTTGCACCGTCATCCACTCGTCCTTCCTTCCCGTGTTCCCCCTCGTTCTGCTTTCACGGCTTTCCATCGTCCTGTTTTCGCCACATCTGTCCATCGCCATTGCAACCCGTTCTTTTCTTCGTCTTCTGTGCAAACTCATCTTTATTTTTCCCCCTGGTTTCTGTTTGCCGTCCTCGCCACCTTTTTCGGTTAATGTTTCTCTCTTTGTTTCACTTTTCCACCTCCTTCTCCCGCTCAATCATCTCATCTTTCTATTTTTACTTCTCTTACACTTCTCCTGGTTTTGACCTCTTCCCCTCCTCCTCTCTGTCCCTCTCCGTCCCTTGTCCCTCTTCCCCGTTGCGTCCCGATGCAGAATGGAATGTTCTATACTAGTTATGTAAGTACTTATCTCTGTTTATTATGACAAGTCCCAACGAGCCTCTCAGAAATGTCTGCTTATCTTCCACTTCATCTTTCCCCCTCCTCGCCTCCTGTTGCTCTTCTGTCCCTGGAGACACTTGTTGAAGAGTTTGACTCTGCTTTTTCTACAAATAACTCTCTCATATCTGAGCCGTAGAAGCTGACAGCGTGCGCTATAATTGTGAAAGCTCTAACTATTCTACAGCTCTTGTTTTAGTCTGTGTCTATTTAATCAGACGTTGTTAACATTTTGCTTTGGCTTTCATTTAATTCCAAATTTCTAAGAACAGCTTTAAAGCATTTTAGAAAGTCTAGAGAAATGCAGAAATATCTCATGTCAAAACCACAAACTTCAATGTATTTAAGTGGGATTATTTTTTTTAAATATAAAGTTTAAGGGTATATTGTTAGCCTCGAGTCGCTATAGCTCTGGTTGTATGATGATGGTTGATGATCCTGCTGGAAGGACAACTTCTGCCGCACTCTGAGGTCTGTAGAGAAAGATCCATCTCAGGAAAAACCAGACTTTCCTGGTAGGACAACCAGGACTGCTGTGTTTTATTGAGGCATAGCATAACTAGCTATCAGCCCTTATTGCTTCTAGTCCGTTTGGAAATGTATCCTATGTAATTCTCTCAGCTCATTGCTTTGGCTGTTTGATTTCAGGGTTTCTACGCGGTGGTAAAAGGTGGTAAATTTAATGAACCCAAATTAAGGCAATTTAAACGTAGTAAAAGGTATCAAACAGAATTTTACTTGATATTCATTATTTTTGTCACCCTTTTAATATATTCTGATTTTTTTTTTAAGTGTATTTATTTATCTATAAAACCTGTATGAAAATGTGTCGAAATGAGGATCGTTTTGTCTCTCATTATAGGAAAATGTAAATTTTCACAACTTTGGGTTACTGCAACACTGATAGGTTAAGGTGCAATAATTAGAGGAAAACATTGCCTTACAACCATTTATGTTTATTAACTCTGACTATTAAGTTAAATAGAAAAATCCATTTAAGTACATGTGATACATTTGTTAGAGCAACATTGCTATCATAGTTTTTAATGTCGGCTACAGTTTTATTCTGTAAATTGAACTTAAGATTAATAATATTTCTATAATCAAATGTAGTTTTTTTATTTATATATTAATTAGTCTTAATAATACCTGTTAGTATAACATCAACAATCAGGCTTCTATATAGATATTACAATTTTTAAGTGTAAATATTCCATCTACTGTGTTACTACATTAAAAACTCCTCTTTAATATAACAGCAATCTCACTATCATCTCATCAGCCAATGGGAGCTTATGTTAAAGTTCTACCTCAGAGTTAGTAAGTTGTTCCTTTTTAAATGATGTGTAATTAATGCAGAAATAATTCAGACTAACGCATAGAGCTAAATGTTGTTAAAAATGCATGAAAAGATTACATTACCTCAGCACATCTGAATTTGTAGAGTTTCTACAAAATAATGAGTTTGAAGCCCTGTTTAATTCTTTACTTTGAACATTTCTAGCATTTGATGACCCAGCATTGAAAGACCGACTGAAGAAGATCATGGAGAATGTTTAGCTATAAGTGTTACCATGAGCAGCGTTAACAAATGACGGCGAGAAAATGACCAAAGGTTCTCTAACCGTGAGGTGGCCTTAGTCAGGACCAATGCTTATTTTGTATTGGTAGTAATAGGGTTGGGAATTTATTAGATTTTCACAATTCCGATTCTCTTATCGATTCTGTGAAACAATGAACTTGGTAGGTGCACGGTGACATTCGTCTACCTTAGCCTGGGACATTCTATTTCTGCCTGCCTCTGCAAAAACAGAAGGCAGTGACCAGGAGCTGCCAGCCTCTGAACCAGCCAGGCTACCCGTCTCCTCACAGTCATCTAGATCTAATGGAGAAGGCATCCGTTTAATGAAAAAGCATAGCTGTACAATTTCGAGAAATAAACTAATCTCTCCCTGATTTAAATAGACGATCGTCACCTTTCTCTCGCTCCCTGAACTGCAGAGCAACTTCGTAGCATGTTTCGTTACATCCATTGCAATAGCTAGAATCGTGAGACTTCCAACTACCAGTAGTTTTAATTAAACATGCTAGCAATGAAGGGTTGGATTAACGAGAAAGACACACTCCCTTAATAACCCCAAAGAGAGGCAGGAAACTGGTTTATTTCCAGAAATGGCATATGATTTACTAGGAGCCACATTAAGCACAGCCAGTGAAATAAAACTAGCTACTTACCACCAGAGTTGCCTTCCATGCTGGTCGTAACTTTAGAATCTGTCCAGAATTATCAAAAACACTGCATTCGTTGAAATGTATGCCATGTTGCGTGCGCAGGTGTTTCTGCATGCCGGATGGATTTCTTCCCGTGGATGTAATCGCCACTTTACAATGATTGCAAAGTGCCTTGTTGCCATCTTTCTCTTCCTTAAAATGGAGCCAAACTTTAGATCGCTTTGACCACTTTTCTTTTGCTTATCTAGACTTCCGCCTGGTCACGTCTTACTTGCTTACTGAATGCCATGTGCATAACTTGCGTTAAAAACGTGACGTAAGTCGTGCTGCCCAGAGTGCTAGGCTCTGGTGCTGCCTGGAATCGTTAAGCAAGCTGCCAAACGGTGCCATGGAATTGGAACCCACAGAACTGGTTCTGTACAGGAACCGGTTTTCGATTCCCATCCATAGGTAGTAATAATATTATACGGGTAGTAAAATGTAGTAAACTTAACACTTGCATTAGCATCATAGGTCAGTTTGAAAAAAACTTGAAAAAAGTCAAATAAACTCTGTATTCCCACAGCATGATGCTGCCACCACCATGCTTCACAGTAGGGATGGCATTTTTAGGGTCCTGTTTAGGGTTACTTGTATTATGTTTTATGCAATGATCTCCCTGCACCGTCTGCTGGGATCTTCTGTCTTCATGGTGGTTCCTGTTCACTAATGTTGTGGAACAATCCTTCAAAGTCTTCACAGAAAATTGGGCAACTTTTGAAGGCCGTCGATTGAATGGGATTTTATCAAAAGGGGGATTAAAATAGAGGGGGCTGAAATTGTTTTTTTTTTTTTTTTTTTTTTTTTTTTTTTTTTTTGCAATAATGTCTGGAAGAATGTAAGAGAGTGAGACGAGATTCGCAGTATTTCCATTGTGCCTGCTTTTAACTAAACAGGCCAAATAAAGACGGATTGAAGAGAAAAAAAAAGACCTGAACTGGGAGCAATCTGACATGCAGTGCTACCGCTAACAGATGTGGTTAAAAAACGGCAAATGACTTCCATAAAAACTTGTTATAGGTTGTGAAAGCATTTTAGAAGACATCCCAGGTAGCAGAGGAGCAATTAAACCGGCTGATTAGACACTTACATCAGACATTCAGGACAGAAAGTTGCAGCAGTCTCAGCTGGCAACACATCTCGCATTTTAAGTTGCAGGCGTCTCACTCATTTAACCAGCGCTTAGCTGTGCAGGAGGCTAAGTGGGCAGGAAATCTGACTGCAGAGAAGAAAAGGAAGCTCACCTCCAACTGCCCAAAATACAGCAGAAAGGATGCAGTGGAAAAAAATGAGGCAGGTGAAAGACAAATGATTCGGCAGGCAGGGGGAATGAATGAGCGTTAGAAGGCCGACGCCAACAGATAAAGTTGAAGGGAGGCGCAGCGAAGGCCAACAGCTGTGTGCGAAGACAGATGGACGCCAAGAAGGAGGGAGAACCTGGAGCTCTGCATAAAAGGCTTCTCATTTTTTCTCTCTCTCCGTCATGCTGCCATGTTTAGAAAAGAAAAGCAGCGATTGATGACAAGGAGCTGTGAAACTGAAAGACAGACGGTCTGTGAATTAATGAGATTAAACTGCAGGTGACTGTAAAGTCGACTATAAATACCGTAAACTCTTAACCATTGGTGTTACTGAGGAGGCGATAAATATCTTTGATCAAAGAGCCTGAATTGGGTCTTTTTTATCTTCTTACAGCTGAGACGGATTGATCAGTGTTTTTGATCAACAATTGGCTCTCCAGGGTCAAAGCTACAAGCGTATACAGATCAATTAGATCGATTGCTTCCTGAGATCTGTTCACAGCTTCACCTTTCCTGGCCTAAAAACTCTATTTTTTTCTCTAGATCTCTAAGAAGAGAATCACTCCGTCTGCTTATCCCTCCTTTTAAAAATTCCTTTAAAGCTCTGATAGATTGGTTTAAAACCCTACCATAGTAGCAGTGATGCATTTCATCAGTTCTGGTTACCCACCATTTTTACCTACCCTTACCACCTCTTTTACCTACTATTAAAACAGGTATCCTTCATTTAAAAAAACAATCTTAAAATGAGTAAACTTTTCAAGGAAAGTCTGTATTTGTTCTTAATTTCAGGGGGCGGGGAGGGGTTCGTTATCTTATGCAGGCCAGTTAGTTATACGTCAGCCTGTGCACCTAAATTTGGCCAATCATATATCAACGGACATCTGTCGATCTAATTTTTTGGTTATAGCATCTTGATTCATATGTCGCAAATTAATATACGCAACGGTTGAAAGAAGAAATAAGAATATTTTACTTTATGTCCCAGTTTTAACAGGGATGGACGCCTGTGTCTTCAGCAGGCGTAGAGCTAACAGAACTGGCAGCGTTGCGAGGCGAGGGCTAAAACATGTACGGCTGTAAGCCTTCTACACCAAACCAAGCTTCTGCCGCCCTGGCGTCCTCTTCCACAACATCTCCGTCCCACTTTCCTCCTCTAAATAAAAAATGTAGGATGGAGGAGACTCATCCACGACCTCCGACACTAAACTCTCCTCCTCTTGCATGTTTCCTCTGTCCATAGCCTTCCTTGACAGCGTCGTTTCTAAGTCACCAATTTAGTGCTAATTGGTCCCAATGGAATTTCCCATTGGGAACCTACTAGCACTAAGTTAGCAAGATACTGGTTAGCAAGATGCTTCCGACAAACCGACCACAACCAAACGTGTTTGTGAACCTTCCGCCACAACAATCCCGCCCCCTTGATAATCCACCAATCACATTCACTTTATTCACTCGTGTAAAGTCTTGCACCACTCAGGAGAATTCTGAAGTGCAACGGTTTGAACAGCCGCTTCCCTACGACTTTAAAGAGATATTCAGATAATATGCGCTTGAAATAAAAGACTGGAGTTTTTCTTTCTTATTTTAAATGTAAACTATCTAATTCCATTGGTGATATGTGTCACTTCTCTGCTCAGTTCAAGAAAAAAAAAACACTTATAAAAAAAAAGAAATGTAAATTAGTAAATTTTTCTTAAGATATCTGCATTTTATTTCTTGTATTGAGTAGGTAAGTGAGACACATATCAATGGGATAAGTTAGTTTACATTTAAAATAAGAAAAAAAAACAGTTGCATTATCGAATTAAAGTGCATAATATCTGATTATCGAATTTTAAGCCTAAACTTAGTCATTCTATTGGCAGATCATCTTATTTTCCCACTAAAATTAAGGGTGAATGCAGCTATTTTAAGAATCTCTTAATCATTTTTAAATAGTTTTTGTAGTGTGCACACCGTAATGGAATATTAGCTTAAAGGTATAGTGGAGGATTTTGCAAATTTTTGAGAAGACCCTCAAAAAAAAAAAAATGCACATGCACTGTACCCGCTCCCGAGACGGAACACCTATGAAACGCGTGCCAGAGCATATGCACAAGCCCATTTCTCCTCATGCACACTCTGTTCAAAAGTTGCTGTTTGCATCGCTCATACTAGCTTACTTTCTAAAGGAAGATTTGCAAATTTTCCACCATGTCAGATCACCACAAGTGAAAATTGGGAAGAACACATAGGATAGCTTTAGGATAGGTAAACATACAATTAGGAGAACCACTTATTTAGATGATCCACCCAGAAAAAGAACATCCTCCAGCATACCTTTAACTCTGGACCAACTAGAGAGTCCGTGTTAAAGGTCCATCTCTCTATATCCTCCAGTCATCTTAGAAAGCAAGTCCCAATTACATAAATGTCTGACAGCAGCGCTGATTCTTTGTTTTTTTAAAATGATAATTGGAAAAATAATAAGAGAAATCCGTTCATATGTATCCCATGTTTAGAGTCTGCTTAAAAATCCCTTCTCAGATGACTTCTTGGGGATCCTCTACATTATGACTAAGATTTCCTAACTTTAGTAAATTGCACTTGGTTTAAAACATTGATTAAGGAACTGATGCAAAAACGGCAATTAAAGGATAATGCTTGTGCAGTTTTATTTTTCCCCCCATAAAACCCTAAGCGTACTGTAGCAGTACTGTAATTACTGTAATCCATCATTTTCCGTCGTAAAATAAAGCAAAACAAGACTTTCCACCGTAGCTAATTACATGCTTTAATGGAAATATCGCAGTTTTCATTTCTAGACTCCGGGTATAGCTAGAAAAATCAAAACCAGCTGGAGGTGTCCCGCTGTGTCATCGTGGGATCTTCCCAAGCAAATGACTCTGTCTTTATGGATCTTTGAGGAAAGATTCTTTATTTCTATAATATTAATAAGAGATTTTTCAGCAGTGATTTGGGATCTTTGCTTTAATGCACCTTCACCTGTTCTAACACAGCTGCAGAAAGCAGCTACCTTCAGTCAGAAATCAGCAGCTTGGATGCAGAAAGGTGTTCCTTCCAGTCAATAGGTGTCTATATGTGGAATAGGGAGCCGGTCAGGTGCAGAGGGTTTGATTTGCCCTCTGCATGGAGGAAAGCCCGGCTCTCTGCCTCTTCTTTTGAAGTGCTGGGAATGATTGCTCACAGCGGGGAACCACTAAGCACTTTAGCTTCTTGCTGTGCTGCTAAATGTACACACTCTTGAGCTTTAAATGATTTGTCCTTTTCCCCAAACAGTACACCTGAAATCACTCCAGTGGAAAGTTTTTTTTTTTATTGCATGTGTGTTGCATAAATAATTTTAAATTTAGATGAGGTGAAGCTGGTTGGTTATTTTGTCCTGAGATCATCTGTTTTTCGTTCCAGGCCCCAGCGCCGATGGCTTTCCCCATGACCACACCACAAGTGCCTGTCTATGGAATGGTGAGTATGACCCAATGAAGCGCCTTTCAGATCCCTGAGCTCATATGTAGCTGACCTGCATGATCAGTAGGCTATATTAGGGCAGATTTGGACAAAGCACTGATGCACCGTAATGAGGATGCCTCTTTTAACGTCATGTTTTACTATGAACTGTTTTATTGTGGCTTTTTATTCAGCTCTTCTAAGTCAGTAATTTGTAGACCTGGTTTTTCCTGGACTTTGAGCCATTTTAACTTGCTCTGGTCTAAAGCCGGGCTTACACTGAGAGATTTTTTGCCCTTTTCAGGCCGACTTTCCAGTTGTGCAAGAACTTTCCGATCGGGCTGACTTTCACCCTGATAGTGCGTCGTGTAGTGTACGGGGGGGTAACAAGGGGCGATCAGCCTCTCACGACCGCCACCGACCTCCTCCCGATCAGGAATCGTGAGGTCGGGAGAAAATCAAACGTTTGATTTTTAGTCAGCCATCGTGAGCAAACAAGAATTCTTCTTCTTCCTCTTAGATGTAAACACAAAAGCATGGCAGGGGGGGCGAGTGAAATGAAGTTCTTTCTGTAAAATTGACAGACCGTAGTAGCCACATATGCTCAGCCATGTCTTTGTCCAAATATGTCGTTGCCTTTTCCTTTAAAGGCTTTCAGCACAAAATTGCACAAATTGCCAAGGCAGCTCGTTTCACTCTAGTGAGCTTCATATTCCTCTTCTACTCATTTGGCTTCTGGATAGACGAGTCTGAGTAGCTCCACCTCACTGCGGAGCTGAGTCCCACGTGGTTTTTGGACGTACAATGTGAGCAGGTAGATCGCATCAGAGCGTCGTGCCGCACAGTGTGAGAACATACATGATGAGCTGTGAACACACACTGTACGACGAAACCCTGCGGTTTGTCTTTAAACTTGGAAACCAGAGTCCACCAGTCCAGTGGATTGTTTTTTAAACTTTTTTGTCATAACCGTGACCTGGATGACTGAGAATCTTCACCAGCAAAAACATCAAATGTTTCATTAGGATGAAGCTTGGGTTTTCTTCCATAGGATATTATATGAAATAAAAAGACAAAAGACATAATTTCCAAGCTAATGGCTAGAAAAGTAGATCTAAAAACATATTTATGGTTCTTTTTAGTTTTTTGTTGCACAAATAAATTCAAATATTCTTAAAATAAAACAAAAAACTCCAACGTATTTGTTATTGTACTGCATTAGCTGCTTCCTTATATCATTGTTTTCTATTAAGAGCCATTGTAGAGGAAACGAGCAGCTCAGACCCTGATCTAAGTCCTTCCCCTGCAGCTCTGTGTTTGGTTTCCTCTTGCTGGAAGGGAAACCTCCACGCCAGCCTCTAACCTCTGTCCACAGCTTGATGCTTCCACCACCATGTTTCAGTTTTCCTTGTTTCCGTAACCCTCTACTTTCTCTTGGTTTGTGTTTGCCGTGGCTCTTCAGGTCCCGCCCCAGATGGCTCAGATGGGAGGGGTACCTGTGATGGCTCCACAGCCAATGATGTACAACCAGCCTGTTCTCAGACCCACCAACCCTTTCGCACCCATGCCAGGAGCCCAGGTAGCTGACCTCGCAGTCGCACAGTAGTTCACACCAGAGCATGTGAGCGGAATATGGTGGAGCTCAGAGCGGTTTGCAATTTAGAGGCCGGAGTGAGGATTGGCATAATTACATGAAAGAAAAAATGCCTTTCCTGAAAATTTGAGCGAGCGTGGAGCGATTTCGCCAGAGCAGCAGGTAAATTAAGGTAAGCGCTGAGTGGATTGTGAGCGGAGCTTCCTGGTGTAACTTTGAGCGGCGGAGCGAATGAGCAAAAATCCTCCTGAGTGGGAATTGCGCGGCGCCCCGCTACGTTCACATGCTCTGGTTCACACACACACACATATGCTCCCTATTAGCCTATTTCTCTCAACAATAACTTGATACCTTAAGTGATAAAGGGAAAAACGTCCTCTCTTTTGCACACGCAGTTAAAATGCTCAGAATGTCTTTATAATTTCAGGTTTCTTCCCCCTCTCTTATCTAGATGCAGTTTATGTAATCCATTCAGGAGGAAGCTGAGTGCCAAAAGTGACAAACAGAGGAAAAAAGTCACGGGAGGACGGCCGAGCGGAGGGAGGGAGGGAGGGAGGGATGAAAGGATGGAGACACGATCCAGATAACCGACAGACACCAAAACGGAGGACAAGATGTAGACGGGGGGAGGGTGGGGGGGCTGTGTCTGTGTGAAACAACTGCTTGCATGCGTGAGAGTGGAGCTTCTCTGCGTTTATGGTGTCACGTCTGACGCGAAGAGTGCAGATGGATGAGCAGAGAAGAGGGGATGGAGGTGATCCTACCGCACCCAGCCTGCTCAGTTCAGCTCACTATCGATGCTTTGAGAGCTGCAGATTTAGCTTTATTTCATTCTGGTGCTACTTTGTCCTCTTCAAGTTCCTGTCTGCCTGCAACAGCAACTTGGGAGCACTTATAAGAGAAAGTGTGTGTGCGTGTGTGTGTGTGTGTGTGTGCAGCAGTTGTTTCAGGTCTCCCAGCTCCTCTCAGCCCACCCCCCCTCACTCTCCATTTGTTTTTACTGAGAGATGCAGAGGCACATTTTCTCAAGTTTGTTTCCTGTAATTTTCAATCTGTATTTTTTTTTTCCTCTTGTTTATCTTCGACAGCCTCTCTTTAATGCTACCAGGGCTTGTACAGCAGTTTGTTGAAGCGCTAAACGGTAACCGAGCATTTATCATCATGGCTTTTGTTAGCTCTGCACACGGAGACGGGGTGTGGTGACGCATGGGAACAAAAAAGATAAAAGGAACTCAAGGGCTCGTCCCACTGGGGGTAAAGGCATGGAAATGTATCAGGTTTTGCTGAAATGGTTGACTGTATCCGCATCATGAAAACTGCCGGTCAATGTGCTTTCAAAGGGTTTAAGGGATTGAGGGATCTTTGCATAAAATGTCACACGAGAAAAGTGTCTTGAAATTGATCAAAATTTACCCACAATTGTTAATGAAGCTGTGTACATAAGCAAAACCTGTGTTTTTTCTTTTTTCCTTATATGGGCTGTTAACCCATCTTTGCAAAGTCAGCATTTTAATATTGTGTCTCTTTAAGAGGCTGTCAGCGATCATCAGGATTGGTCACCTGTCCTAAAATGAACCCTTTTCTTAAAGCGATACACACAGTCATCTATTTAAACAGTGAAGGGATGGTTCTGGATGTTTGGATCTGAGGTTCTGTTAAAAACACGTTTTCCTTTAGTAAAAGTCTAGATTAGTGGGTTTTGGAAGCTTATTAAGCGTCCAAAACAAAACGTTATATTTAAAAGAATCTCCAAACCTAGTTTTTTTTTTTTTTCTTTGAATTTTTGCACATCAGAAATAAAGTTTGGAGGAAGTGTATCATTAACAACCTTCCTGTGTGAAACTTTGCAGTGATCAAAGTGCTAGTTTATTGATTTCTCCTAACCTCCCCCATATTTTTTGGTTTACTTTAATATCAGTTCCTGTGATGGGAAAAGCTCTAAAGGTTTATCCTCATTACAAGCTATAAAATCCCTGCCTACATAGTTGGACAATTGATAATAGACTCTAAAAAGTCAAATAAACTGATGATGATGCTGCCACCACCATGCTTCACAGTAGGGATGGTGTGTTCAGGGTCCTGTTTATGTAGTTTAGTTTTTGTTTTTATCTTTTTAACATCCTTTTAAAATTAAACAAGCACCCCTTGGTTTTGGCCCCTCTTGAATTTCCACTAACTTCAGCCTCTAAAATCATCTAATCTGGATCTGTACTAATGGAAAATGCTAAACGTTCTCTACTGCAGGTAAGATATGAAGCTGTTTGTAACTTTTTAACAGAACCACGCTTTAAAAGGCCTGAACCTTCCCTTAGAAACAGCTGCTTTTTCTGTAAGTTCAGTATTCCGCATATTTTGCCCGACTAAATTGTTGCTGATTTAACTGTTGCCATGCAAGGCTTTAGAGGCAGGCCATGAATGGGGGTGAAAGGGTATTCTTCTGTCTAGAAGGACCAAAAAAAAAACCCAACGCCCCGTCAGAGATCCACGCGAGGTGATTGATGATGGCGGTTACAGAGTCGAGTTGATTGAGTCACTGTAAATTGCACTGAATCAAAGCGAATGGCAGGAGATGCGCCGCTCCGCTGTAACGGACCCGTTACCGTCTGACCCCATGATGCTCATGATTTGTTTTCCTGCATTTCTGCTTCCATTGAGGGCTACATCTGAGGGTCACGTTTTAAATCAAGTTTGATACAAAAAAGTTTTTATCTTTTCAAAAATCAAGAATTGCAAAAATGCACATGCAAAAAAAGTTGCACTGAAGTGGCGAAGTCACCGTAGTCGAGCATCGAGGTCTTATTAAAGATAGATATTCGGAGTACCTGGGGTTCAAAGAACTCTCGACTACAGGCCATTTTGATGAGTACTTTTAATTTTTTTTTCTCCTGCCACTCTAAAGTTGAACTTGAAGCTTTGTGTCCCCCCCCCTCAGCATAGAACGCCTCCAAACTCATCGCCCACTCTGCTGTGAATCTTCTAGTGTCGCCTCAGTTCTTCTAGTAGCTGATCCAGCCTATTTTGGCCTCTTTAGTCTGTAGTTAGTCTGTGTAGATATGTAAAGTGCTTACAGTGTCCGTGTAGATCGTCCCTCCTGTGGGTTAGAAGCAGCTTCTCGTCGGTCTTGTGTTAGCTTAGCCTATCTTCTAATGATCCCGCTGTAGGTTCCCTCACCACTTCCTGTCCTCTCCTCTCCGCTGATGTCTAAAAATGGTAGCTCTATTACCCCTGTCAGTGTTTCCGTACTTTAGCTGTAAATAAAACCTTTCTCTCAGGCTCTTGTTAGTTTCTCTTAATCTCTTCTTTTCTTGCTTCTCTCATCGGTCTCATCTTCCATCCATCCATGCCTCCTTTCGTCCCTGATTGGACCAGCAAAGCACACGTACGGATTTCAGGTTTTTGTGACAAATCAATAAGGTGGATGATTGTCTGGAAGTTAGCCTTGGCTAAAGGTCAGCTAAGGCACTTTCCCTCTGTTTTTTGGGTAAAAGTGAAGATGAAGACCTATAGAATCCTGAATATTACAGCCTGGGGGAGATACAGATCTACAATGTTGCCTTAATGGAAATTTAAAGTAATAAAAGGCTTTATAAAAATCTTGAAACCACGGTTATTGCCTCTTGTTGACGTTTTTAAAACTCGATTATAAAAAATAATCATAAAGTAGCATGTTTTGAGCATTGAATAAAATGTGGTTATTGTTGAACATGTAACACTTGACATGCACCCACACAAAATCCCAATCAGGTACTTTAAAGAATTTGACCATGAAAACGCTTAAAGTGCAGTACAGTAGTATTTCATCGAAAGGTCGTCCCGTAGTTAACACTTTTATAAAGAATGTCCTGCTCCTGATGATGTGTTTCCACCAAGGATAGTTTGCTGAAGCCTTTTGTTAACTTAAGCTTCTTTTATCCTTTTTTGATATGACTTGTTGATAATCAAGTAAAATATTTAATCAACGATTTACCTTCATGAACTCCAGTGTATTGAATGTCTACAAAGTTTTGGGCTAAACCATCATAGTGAGCTCATCACTACGTGACCAAGACAAAGTGAACATTTAGAAAGTGTTAAACAAAACCCAATAAGTATTTCCGTCCATTAATAACAACTGTCTTACTGGTTATCGCTCTTAGAGCCGTCGACATGAAATCATACGCAGTAAAGAAAGACCCGGTTTCCGAACTTTATTTTGGTCACGGACATGGAAAAAGGCCTTTATCAAGATCTGCATCCGATATCTGTCTCACATTAGCCCCGTATTCCCTAACCACCAAATAGCGCAAGTTGTGATCAAGAAAAAATTTATCTCAATGGAAATTCGCAAAATGGGGCAAGATCGTAGAGTTGAGAAAAAAATTCAAATCTTCTGATTCAACGTGTTAGCGCTTCGATGAATTGTTTTTTTTCGGCCGTATCAAAACCATAGAGTTCGTAAAACAATTATCGTAACATATGAAAACACTTTTTTCGCATCACAAGTCAGTTGATCTGCGACTGTCCCTACTGCCTTGTGAAGAAACAAAGAAGGAAAGTCATTTGAAGATGTTGTCGCCCCCTGGAGATGTTGCTGAATTATGAAAAAAATGTTTACATCCACGGCTGCCATGTTGCTTTCAAGCGTTACCATGTGAACAAACGTATTCACTTGTTGAAATACTGCATTAGCATTGTTTTAGATCGGCAGCATATCAGCATAGTTCTGCGCACATTCGTAACACAGCTACTGTGACAACGCGAGTTAGCCTTCCTATGGGTCCAGTATTCAGGGCCCTACACCTAAATATAGATGGGAATTCCTCGGTGAGGGGATGTTCTCGGCTGTCTACCAGCTTCTGATCAGGGCTCCTTCAAAGATGTCATTCAGCATTTTAGATTTAGATTGTAGCTGGTAAATCTAGTCACGACTGCAGTGTCGGTTTTTGGGTGAATGGATCTCCTCTCTGGGCAAACAGCAGAAATTCTTGACGAATTCCCAATCATAACGGTATCATCTCTGCATGCTCTGTTCTCTGGTTAAAACAAAATCTGTAGCCGCTTTCTCCAGAACTGGTTTATTTTCTAGTATCCAGCAGTTTCTCAACAAATGAACCATTAGCCTTTTATGTTTAAAGTCCGGTAACTGAGCTTTTTGGCTTGTTGAGTCTTCGTCCAATCATTGTGCCAGTAGTTGTTAGTGTTATTGTATAGGTCGGATTCATTCATGGACGTTCTCGGACACTTTCGTCCTTTCCCTAACGTCTGCCTGGTCCAAATAGGGCCCGTCCCTCTTGAAGTCGCTGCTGTTTGTATGCGTTGCTGTAGCATGAATCCAGTACAGTGGAGGATGAGCTTAGATGTCAAATCCAAACATCTGATTGCTCCGATTGTAGCGGACATTGAAAGAGCGTCCCTCTCTCTGGCGAACACCCGCTCGGTGAGTTCGTGGCGTTGTCTTTCTCTATGTTTGTGTCCTCAGAGCATCACAGTGGTGGTGACCTCCCTTTTGTTGTCCAACGATTGAGCGACTGATCAGACTCCAATAGTTGTCCGTTGCCCAGGAGCCGTTCAGGCAGAACCGTAAAGGTTTGGGACTGTTGATGAATGAGCCAGTACATCTCAAAGCATTGCCAAACTTCTGTATTCTCCCAAAGAGCTCGCATTGTGTTTTATGTGCAGCACACGTCCTCTGTGGACGACCCGTCCTCTCTTGGGCGGCGTTTGTGTTAGAGCCAGACCCCCCCCTCCACCCTTGGAAGTGAAATGAACAAAGAGAGACTTTGATAGATGTCCTCGTCTTGTCAGTGAGTTGGTGTGTTCAATCAAAGATCTCTTTGTGCACGCTTTATTTTTATGTTGTTTCTTTTTTAATCACATCTGTGTTTTTTGCTAAACAAAAAAAAAACCCTCGGATTGCTGCCTCAATATTCTGTATATAAAGAAACATGCAACATGCAGCTTAAAGACATACCCTCATAATCTGCATTATTTTCATTTACCCATTTTTATTTCATCTGTACATGAAGATATTAGTGTAATAAGCAGCATAAAGGTCTGATTCCTACCATGGTGGGGGCGGCCTGAACCCGACGGACGGAGCAGACCGTCTCCGTCAGGATCAGCCGCGACTTCTCAGCGATGCCAAATGTTAATCCGTCTCTTTCTCTTCTGGGCCCCCCCCCCCCCCATCTCTTTGTACATTGTTTTCTATTTATTTAAAGCAGAAATATATGGAGTGTATCAGGCACCGAAAGGCAAACAAATGTTAGTTGATTTAAGAAAAAGAGAAAAATGATGGGCTTTATTTTACAGCAGTGTATTTGTTTATTTTAGGGATTTGATTCCTCTTATTTTTTTTGTTTGTTTTGGAAGAAATAAAAAGTCATTTTCCATTCCTAAATATTTGTGTGGAGCTTTTTTTTTATGCGACAATTGATGTGGAAACTATAGAGTTTAATAAATTAGACCAAAATGGTTCTAAAATCTTTTTCCATTCAGCTTTACGATGGAAGGATCCTTTATATTACACAGGTATTCAGACCCCCAAAATGTTTGAACACATTTCAACCACAACTTTTATTTAGGATGAATTTATATATATATATAAAAAGACAATGACAAAACCATAAGGTAGAAGGAAAGATGGATGATTTTTAATTATTCCAAAAAGTTTATCCAAAGTTGGATTTTTGCAGAGCGCCTTAGAAGCAAGACTTGCCACAGATTTTAAAATATTGAATAAATAGACTTTATTTCAGATGCATATGTAAATAAATCTCTGAAGAATGGACCAATTCACTTAAGATAAATGTTTTTAATATCAGTACCTGGAGAGGAATTGTGCTAAATCATGTCTTGTTAATTTCTATCCCATAAATAAAATAAAATGGATTCAGATCTGGACTTTGATTAGACCAAAAGTCTGCAGCCTGCCGTTCCGGATCGCCAACTCGCTCTTTAGACGCTCAACATTGGCTCTTCACCACACGATTAAGATCCAGTTAATAATTTTCTCCACTTCCTAATTGCACAGAGTTTCCCAGAACAGAATTACACATATTTTCTTTTTTTTTTGTGTGAGTAAAATATGTTCCTATTTGACAATATTTTTCATAAATTTCAGCCACCTTTTGTAGATGCGTGTTTAAAAAAAAAAGAAAAGGCAATGTGAAGTTTTTGGCTCTAATTAAATTTTATTGGATAAGCAGAAGTCAAATGTTATAATTCACTAAATGAATTGACTGTATCATAAATTTAAAGGGAAATAACATCAGTAACCCATTGAAAAATGTTTTTAATCCCCTTTTCACATTTGTTTTCTTTCATTTTAAAATCTAAAATATGGAATGGAATGACTTTTGTTTAAAAGGGACAAACGTTTGGAACATATTTAGGGTTATTCTTTTTGTAAAAATGATCACTCAATGTTTTAAGGCTCTAATAAGTTTAATTGGATGGACTGAAGTCTTAATTGGCTCTTTGGACTAGACCGTCCTAAAATGTGAATATGCTTTGATCTGAATCAGAGCTGAACTATAAAGCAATACACCTATGCTTTATAGTTCTGTTCCTTCTAGCAGAATAGCCAAACTTTTGTCTGTTTTTTGTAGGTGTTTTCTGGCTGGCCTTGTAAGCGTCTGGACATAAGTCTGATCAAGTTGAAGTAGAGTGGCTTTAAATGGGCCATTAAAGCTCAAAAACACTCCAGTGTGTCTAAAGGAAACAAAGGTGGGCCAAAACTTCTCCAAAGGGACCCAAGAACTCATTGCCAGTTATTCAGCACACTCACTGACAGCTATTGCTGCCAAGGGGGCTACGACCAGTTACGTTTAGAGAGGGCAATCACTTTTTCCACATGAGGACAGGTTGGTTCACGTTGCTTTTTTCCCCATAATGTGTGGGAGACACTAAACCAGAGGATTATCTGTCTGAGAGCTGAAATGTGATGTAAAAATCCTAAAAAGAAAATTGGTTTTGAGAAAATACTGATTTATATTTTCCTCAACAGAAAAAAAATAACTTTAAAAAAGAAATGTGTACTGGTAAGCAATTCCCTCTTGAAATAGGTATGTTTTCCCTTGTTTGGAGCTGGTAAGTAGGACAGTTTGGCTATGATATCATTTATATTAATAAGAAAAAACTATCTTACTTCTAGTGGGTTATATCTATCTTTTTATTAAGGACAAGAAATATCCATTCTATTGGCAGATCATCCTTTAAAAGGCAAATACACAAAGTTTTGAGCAGAAAAGTGTTAAAAATCAACTTTAAATCATTTGTATCATTAAGATGCATTAGAAAAATGTTTTTCTGAATAAGTAAATGCACCATTTACAGCTACAACTAATATTCTGCGGAGTTTCTAACTGGTTTAACTGGAACAAACATGAGTCCTGGCAGCTTAACATGCACTGCAGGATGAATCTGCAGCAAAATCCTGAACTTAAATTCATAAAAGCAATGAGGCTAATATTCTCCACAAAAGAAAAACAAATTGATGTTTTGTAAATTTAAATGACAAAACAGCTTGACATTATCTTATCAACATGTTTCATCTTTACGTTTATTAAACTGACCTTTCTCCTGGATCCAAATAAATGAAGAACTCTGATTTATGCCACAGATCGGAGGTTTTCAACAGGTGGTCCGTGGCCCCTAAGGGGTCCACAGAGGTACTGCATGGGGGTCGCAAAAGTTTTGTTTGATTAGACTCTTTTTAAATATTCCCCCTGCAGTGCTTTCCACTAATTGAAATGTCTTTAAATCCACATTAACATGAATTCAACACACTGTAGTAAACAGATAAATGGAGGCAAAAGATGTCTTTCAGTCATCAATGCACACATTCAGCGACACACAGGAGCTCTTTCAAGCTGGGCACCGTTTCATTCACAACACCTGTCCCATCAACCAGGAATCAGAACCAGAAATACTTTAATAATCCCAGGGAGAAATTAGTTTCATTACATTACTCCATATGTAATAGATGGACTATAGGACCAGTTTGATATAACATAATTTCATACAATATATATAATTAGGGGGTTATATATATATATAACCGGTTTGGTGCTCCTTGGCCTGGAAAACATTGAAGAGTCCTTCCATAGATGATCTGAATCATCTAATTGTTGCTCTCAGCTTCTGCTGCTGTGTGCTGATCCCTTTGGCCTTTGTAAAAGTTATTAGGTGCATAATGTTAGAGAAATTGGAACAACAGCTTACTGAAACCAAATACAAAAAAAAAAAATGCTAATAATTACCCAAATGTAGGAGTTTCTCCCTTATAAACCCCAAACATCTAAAGCTGTATATGTTATTATGACACATGGGGTTCACCTGAAGCAATAATGTCTCTGTAAATAATAACATATAATAATATTGGGCCAGTCCGAAGACGTCGCACAGCTCCTATCCTTCACCTTTCGCGAGGTCAACACTCTTTTTTTCTGCCTCTCTGCCAGCTCCCAGATCAGCTTCTCTGATTGGTTGATGAGGCGCGTCGAGCAGCAAAAGTTAAATTTTTCCAACTCCAGCATCTGCTGCTTCTGAAGAAGCTCAAAATGTGCTGCAGAACCTTTGATGACTTTGCATGTAAACTAGCTGCTTGTGCATCGTGCGCTCTGAACGTAGCATTAGCTCTTTCCTAGCTGCCAGCACTGTTCACACAGCTGTTATCATGGCAACCGTTGGCCTTTTGGACAGTTTCCCTTCGCTGACTTCAGTGTAAAGTAAGAATGAACTGAAATAAGAGTAGATGAAATGATCCAGAAATGCTTCCCCTCTAAATAAAAGCCTTTTGAGCTCTGAACCCTGCAGAGAGCGGAAGCGTTCAAGAAGTGTGCTGAAACTGTTTGAAACACAACAACACAGCAGCTTTACTGCTGTAAAACGGTGGCCAGTTTGGAGAAAACACCTTTTTACTCTGAGCAATATAAGGGTGCATTAAGTTTGTGTGGAGAGGACGGCTGTGACCTCCGTCCTCCACGCTGCGCTTCACATGGCTAAGCTTCACGCTAAACCTGTCAGACAGGAGAACAAACGGCTTAAACCTGTACGATGGAATAAAACCATCTGTGCATCCTTTGCTCTGCACTCAGAGAAAGAAACTAAACCACATATAGAAAGAAAAAATCTACCTTTCTGCATATTAATGCAGTGAAGGCTTCATATACAGCCACACAGATGTGGTACCAAATATAATTTGATATTTAGTTTCTTTTTTATATCAAAACGAGTGTGCACATTCTGGTTTACCCTTTTCTGTTATGATTCTGTTTAATTTATACTCTGGTTCTGTTTGAATTCATGGGCTGAGTCCTCAAAAGGCCTGATTCGAAGGACGATTATGTCATAGTGCGGCGCCGAGGTCTGGTCGGATTCCTCGTTATGCGTCCTAAAAATGCGTCCTTCTTTTGCCTGATTTGTAGGACGGGTCCGATGTATCCTCTCTATCCTTGGGTATCCCAGGATTCCTTGCGAGGCCAAGCAAGCCGGCTGCTCCGTGATCAGAGGAAATGGTAATTAGCGCCAAACAGTGGTGAATATTGGAAGTTCAGTTTAATATAATAAAAGTATGAATAGATCCATAAATAGCTCCGTCTGAAATTAATGAAAATAGTTGTTTTAATGGTTATAGAGTCAGATATGTGGCGGTAATGTTTGGTTTATCTAAAGGTTTTTATCTGTTCCTGTGTAAATAGGTTTGGCTGTAATTTAAGGACAGATTCTAATAGATCTACAGTGTGGGGACTATAAATAGGATAGAATTTTATTTTTTAATTGCTATTTTGCACAAATGTCTTAACTAAGTATTTTTTTTAGGTGGAACATAAGAGATTTGCAGATATATTTTTTCATACATACATTGTTTAGATTTACTTTTATCTTTCTACCCTTTTTATA